CCCCAAAACCCCAAAACCCCAAAACCCCAAAACCCCTCCACACACCCACTCATTATAAAAATTTAGTTAAAACGATAAGAATGGATCCTCTGGAAGAATTTAATAGTTCGGATGAGAAAGATGAGAATTTCTTGTCAAGTGACTTTAAAAGGTAAGTTAGAGGCAAGGGAGGGTGTGGTGGAAGGAGTGTGTTAGTTTTGGGGTGATTTTGGAATGATGAAATTTTATGTATTTAGAAATGCTTATCCCACTCACCCAAATCTCCCTTCCCAACTACTCCCTCCCTCTTCCCAAAAATTCCTTACCACCTCTAACCCCCAACCGCTAAACCCTCAATTCCCCTTTGACTGTAGCCCAAAATCTCTTTTAACTCCCTAAGAAATCAGAACAAAAATTTTGTAGTACAACTTAAAGGATTTTTAAATGGAATTTTAAGGGAAATGTGCTGAGATTTTGGAAAATTTTTGAGTTGGGAAATTGGGGTCGGAGGATTAGGGATTGGGTAGTTTTAGGAGGAAATTTAGGGAATATTTGGAGGTTTTGGGACTGTGGGTTGTTAGTTTTTATAAGCTTAAAGGTGAAATAGTTAAAATTTGGGTATAGTCAAAGGAAGAGAAGAATGAGTAGGAGGAATAATTTCTTTGAGCCAGGAACGAAATTTGGAAATCAAAAAAATTATCGTAAATCTAGCCTCTTTGCAGATTCTCCTGTAGTTAAGAGTGCAAGGAAATTGATCAGGAGTCAGACTAAACTTCGTAATTATGATAAGAAAATGTCGGAGATGTCATTTGATAATGATAGATTAGAGATTGTATCAAACACTAATTCTAACCCAAACACCAATAGGGAGAAAAATGATGATGAACATCTGATCCCTACTAAAAGGAAATGCTCATTGTTCATGTTACAGAACAGAAGTAAGAAGAGAATCCGGTGGGATCTCTTCATCATGTTACTTGCAACATGGAATTGATTCTCAGTTCCTTATAACGTTGCATTTGACTCGACTGTTTTTCCAGGAATTCTGTCTGACATCCTAAATTGGTTTATTGACATATTTTTCATGCTGGATATCTTGATGAACTTTAGAACAACTATAAATGATGATGAGACAGGAGGAGAGATCTCTGACCCATTCAAGATTGCTTTTAACTATCTGAAGGGCAAATTTTGGATAGACCTTCTAGCTTCTATTCCATTTGACTTTTTCTCAGTTTTATTTATAAGCTCGAGTAATAATTTCATTCTACAGCTGTTTGGGCTCCTAAAACTGGTAAGAATATTGAGACTATCAAGACTGATCACATACATGAATCTCCAAGATGATGTCAAAATGTCCTTGAAGTTGGGAAAGCTGATCTTCTTTTTAATTATGTATATTCACTGTATTGGATGATTGTGGTTCTTTATTGCCAAACAAAATGAAACTTGGATGCCTCCTTTAGATTATGTATGGGTTGAGACACATATTTATACAGAAAATGCTTTTCATCAATACTGAAACTCTTTGTACCACGCAATGCTGATGCTGGGAGGAAATGATATTGGGCCAAGAGGGAGCTTCCAGCTTGCATTCATAACATCTTTACTCTTTGCTGGTGCGATCATTAATGCTAACATTTTTGGTAACATTGCTGTTCTATTACAACAGTTAAATAGAAAAGCAACCAAGTTTCAGGAAAAGGTTGAAAATGCTAATGCTGCTATGAAGAATCTCTCAATTCCTTCTAAAATACAATTTGAGGTGCAGAGATATCTTGATTATACACAAAGCACTAGTGATCATCAGCAAGAGCTTAAGAATTTTCTTGGACTGATCCCTCCAAGCCTGAGTGAGCTAGTAGTTAAGCATATATCTGAGCAAGCTTTGAATAAAAACGAAGTGTTCCAGAATAACTCGAATATATTAGATTCTATTTTGACAGAACTAGTACCTTGTCAGTATACACCTGAAGATGCGATAGTTCGTCAAGGGGAGAAGGCCGAAAATATCTATTTCCTTTGTAAAGGAGAATGAGATGTACTTGTCACTGATCAATCACTCAAAGAGTCATTCGTAAGTCACATCGAGTAACAAATAGGTCAAAGAGCTACATCAAGGGGCTTATTTTGGAGAAATAGCGTTATTGAAATAACTGTAGAAGGACCGCAACTGTTAAATCTAAGAACTTTACTACCCTAGTTTCCTTAGATAGTCAATCATTTCTGGAAATGGTCAGTGTCAATCCTGATATCGCCGAATCAATGAACAAGCATATCAAAGTTTCGTACAAGGATCGGTGGAAAAAGTTCATCAAAAGAGCTCTGTGAAGTATAGAATACTTCAGTGGGCCAACATCCGATGAAATTATAGAAGCCTTGGCATATAAACTGGAAATTTTGAACATTAATAAAGATACCACAATATTTCAGAATGGAAAACCATGCACTGAAATATACATTGTTGCTCATGGAGAGGTGAATATTTATATAAAATAACAGCCAGGTCAAGGACTCCTACCTAGATATGGTCTATCAGGGATGCTCTATTGGGTCCTACAGTGTGCTCACTGGGGACGACTACTCTATTACTGGGAAAGCTAAAACAGATTGCACACTACTAAAGTTGACCTACAATACTCTTGAAGAGCTAAGGAACAAATTTGACGAATTAGACTATATCTTATCTGAATTTGAAGACTACATTGAGGCAGAAGGATTACCGTTCTGAGACTTTAAACTCTACAGAGCTGGATTTATGAAAATGAAGCCACTCAAAAAGTTTCAGATTGGAATCAGGAGAATTATTCAAATAGTGGTAAGTCTCAAGCTTAAATACGTTTAGAAATCACACAAAACACATAACATCACAAGGATGTTTAACAAGATTCAGGATGACAACAAGAAGGCAAGAGAGGATAAGAATAAGACCAAAAAGGCTATTGTTCTCAGGAAAGCTTCTGTCAATCCCATGGCTGCTGCTAAAATGGCAGACAGTGAAAGAAAAGATCCTAAATACAGCTTTTTAAGCTCCAAAATAGATAAATTAACCAGAATTGTTGAAAAACAACATGAGATAATACAAGATCTCAGGAATGATATTAGAGAAAAATTCGGTTTAGAAAAATTGAAGACAGAATATGCTAATGATGTTGGAAAATCATCTCATGATTTTAGTTCAGAGTATTCGGATGATTCTACTTTTAATTAAGAAATTTATCAGGAACAAGTCTAAATAATGATAACCCAGAACGGAGTCTTTCCCAGTTTTCACATGTAAGCAGTTTTTAACTCTCTTTAGAAAAATAAATTCAAGAAAAAGAAATCTGAAGTTGATAACTCAAAGAACTTTCCTGAGATAAAGATAGAGAATATTTCTAAATAGGACTGTTTCACAGGCACTTCCTATGGCTAAAAAATTACCAAAAGAGATTAGGCTAAACAAGAACATTAACCAAGTAATCCTTGACCCTCCAAAGAAGGTGCAATTTGGCAGCAGCAATACTATTAAATAGCAGTCTCGAAATTAATAAAGTTGAGGAATATATTGAGAATGATGATAAGTTGCTAAAAGGATCTCAGACATTCACAGACAAGTCTCAATGAATCGATAAGTAATACTAAATAATAACAATATAGAGACCAGAACCAAAACCAAACTGGAGAGAACCTTAACAACACTGAAATGGAGATGGAAAATCTACTTATAGACGATGAGGTGGAACTGCCGGACAACATGAAACGACTGACAACTGATGAGATTAATGATATTTTATAACCCAAAATCTAAAATGCCCAACAATCTTAGGCAGCCCTCTAGTACCTACTAGTTTGGCATAATAATTTTATCTGTTTTAAAACCTATGAACCAAATTCTGCATATTTTTCATAATTCTCACAGAGAAAATAGTACATTTTGAGCCATTTTCATCAACTATTTTTTAATTTCTAGGAGAACTTGCAAATTTTCAATAATGAAGAATAAGGTTGGGGTTTTGGGGTTTTGGGGTTTTGGGGTTTTGGGGTTTTGGGGTTTTGGGG